TTATCCACCTTCTCCAAATGTTTATTCAGACTGGTAGTCTACAATAATCTAAGATTTATGTTACTCTGGCACTTCTTAATCAATTTTAATTAAGTGATACATAATGTCCAGAAAAATCAGAAGTTAGTACAGCCTCAAAAACATCTCTAACAAACAAAGTAGAAGCAACTTTAGACTGGGAGACTCAAAGTTGCTCAAGTAATATTGAGACAACAGCTATAAAGAATTCCTTTTTACTTGAAATTGGCTTTAATATATATTCTTTTTAAATCAGGTAATATTAGTTTTTTAAAAATACCCAACACATATGGCTTTAAAGTTGTTTTCAAAAGTTTCACCATTAAAAGTGTCATAAGGATAACATGGAAAATTCCAGGCACCCAAAGAGGGAAAACAATTTTCTAAATTAATTCTAGAAATGTTATATGTTTATGAAAAATCATATGAAGTGTTTTAGTAACATGATTATTAGCAATAAAAAGTTAAAACTTACATTAGGGTTTTTTCTTCAATTTAGTTCATAAGTAACTATTTTAGTCACTGTATTTATGGCTGGGTACTAATAGAATAACTAAAATAACCTCAGAGAACAAAGCAGTATTGCCCATACCACTGCTTGGTGAGTTCTTCTTTGTTCCATTATTTCCCTACACATAAAATATCTAGATAGGGTAATACTCTTCAAACTTATTTTTCTGCTTGAAATAAGGGTGAAAAAACCCAGCAACAAATAAAAAATTCTATATGAGATCCTCTACCTACAAAAGTCAGTGTTTCCTAAAGTCTTGAGCTGTCCATACGCATATACTGTTGCTTCTGAATTACAAGCTGATTACATTTTAAATCATTCTGTAGGAGAAAAATGATGACATTTTATGATGTTAAATTACAAAGTATAAACTGAGGGTATATATAAAAGTTCTCTAGAGTAAGTTGTCATTTTTTATATATTCTGCCAAATTCATGAATATAAAAATCCAGCACTGCTCAAAAGAACAAGGGCATGCCAGGAACGCACAGTGGGTACGGGAAGATCAGAGAGCTCGTGTGGCATTCAAGAGGGCTGTGAGTAGGGATGACTGGCTCCAGGACCCCTGAACTAAGGAGGCGCCTGTGTGTGCCAACCATCCCCTAGCAACTCTATTCTGACCCATAATTCCCCCACCAAATCAGTGAGGGTTATTTGTAATCCATTTTTCCATGCAAATACAGATGTTAAGTAGAAGGGGAGAAACACTGGCTACTCTATGAAGACCTGTAACTTATGGTAGTAATTTTGAAATTAATCATAAACTTGTAAAAATTACCTTCACATGATATAACTCTGTACTACATGTTATGTAAACCAGAAATAAATCCATCTCTACATTATCAAGAAATGTTGTATTTAAGTTCTTAAAACAAAATCAAAAATCAGTATCAAAAGACAGCCCAATTCTATTATTTTAAAAGTACCCAATTTATGCTTAAAATGTAATTCTACCCTTATACTTCAAACAAAACAAAAAATTCCTATAATAAAATATTTACTTATCAAGTAAAAATATTTATTTTATATCAAAATTATACTTTATTCTAATAAATATAGATTGTTTAGGATTAATGTAATATCAAGTATCTAAAAATAATTTATGATAGAAAAGTAAGAGAATATCAAGAGTATAAACTGTTCTAGGATTCTTTTCAGCTTAGCTGAGGAACAAAACAATGACTACAGGTAACTAGCAAAAGTGCCATGGAAAGCTGCTGTTACCACTGCCATTCTGGTAGGGTTTTTATTTTGCTTTTATCCATGATTATATTTTAACTGTTTTCTATAAAATATATCACATATAAAAATTCATTTTAATTAAATCGAAACAAACAAACGCTAAAAGGACACAAAGACAACCGTGTTTTCATGTTTTTATTTGGTGTACAACATCTTAGAAAACCAGTACTATATTTTAGGTAATAAAAGCCTCCATTTTAAGTAAGGAAAAAAGCAGTCTTTAGCATGATTTAATAAGGACAACTTGGTTACCTGCATAAAAATTTTGATTCAGAAACTTTTTACATTTGGGGATAATGCTGCTAAAGATTTACTTTCCAAATAGTACTCTATTTGGTCTCATACCGATTGAAGATAAAATAAATTGCTATTACCTGACTAATTTTCATTCTCTGGCACAAAGAGCCAAAGAATTACATATGGCACAACAAAATCTACAGGTCACATGTGAATTCTAATCTTTCTTTAAATGAGAATTCTTTGCCCTGGCTGGTGTGGCTCAGTGGACTGAGCACCAGCCTGCCAAGCAAAGGGTTGCTCATTCGATTCCCAGTCAGGGCATGTGCCTGGGTTGTGGGCCAGGTCCCCAGTGGGGGGCATGTGAGAGGCAACCACACATTGATTTTTCTCTTCTTCTCTCTCCCTCTTCCCCTCTAAGAATAAATAAATAAATAAATAATCTTTTTTAAAAATTCCTTTACAAAGAAGTATAGGAAAATACTCACATTACTAGCTTGTCCACTAAAAGGGATTTATTATAGTTAAAACACTAAAAAAATAGCTTGGCACATAATTAGTAGGGGAGGATATCCTCCCATCAGCTAGTCAATGATAAAGAGTGAATAAACCAGTTTCTGGCTATATAGATGGTCACTTTTCCTTTTGTACATGTACATCAAAAAATATACTGTGATACTTACTAAATCAAGTTTCTAAATTCAAGGGAAAAAAATCAAATTTTAAATATTTTCTTCACTGTATAATTATATAAAAACACAACAATTCTCAACCAAAAAATTTCCTCACTAGCAAAGAGGAAACAGGTCAACATTCTATTTCATACCAGCTCTTCTTTCACATCAGAAATATACATTTTATTAAAATAGCCAAACCCAATAATAAATTCTTCAAGAGAAAAACTATTAAAATGAAATTGTTTTTATTAACAAAAGATTATAGTTCATCAACCCTAATTTCAATAAAAAGGGAAAATAAAACTGTTTTCACAGAGACTTTAGAAAAACATCTGGCAAAATAAGTTCACTGGTTGCAATGGCCTCATATTCTATTAAATGCCATCATTTTAAAAACTAATTTCATGAAAGAGACATAAACCAAGAAAGAAAAAATTACTAAATAATTCATTTATACTGGAAAATGTGGCTCAGGTTGAAGTGACAAAAAAGGGGAAATTCAGTGGAGTATTCCATATTTTACTGAAAGACTTCTAATTTTTTTCTTCCCACTAAACAGATAAACTATTTTGTGTGCTCTGTGCTTTGATCCCATTCTTCCTTTACAAATTAAAAATGTTTTCAGCCCATCAAATGCTGACACTCACTCTGAAATCTATCCCAAGTCCACCTATTTCTTGTTATCTAACTTTTATAGTAGTAGCTCAAGCTACTAGCCATCTGTATTCTAGACCACAATGAGACCCTACTAAAACAGTATTCTTGCTTTCACACTTACCCCTGTACAATCCATTCTCCACAGAGTAGCCTAAGAAATCTTTTTAAAACATGAATCAAATCTTGTCATTGCCCTGGTTAAAAGTCTCTAAATGGCTCTCAACTCATCATATAAAAGCCATGTGACAGCCTATAAAACCCTATACAATTGGATCTCTGCCAACCTCTCCTTGCCCACTTATTTTCACACTGGCCTCATTCTGTCCTTCAAAATAGAGTTTCTCACCCTTGGCACTACTGATGCATTGGGCAAGGCTGTTCTTTCTTTGTTGTGGGGACTGTCTGTAGGATGTTTAGCATCATCCCTGGCCTCTACGTATTCGGTGCCTGTAACACTATCACCCCCAGTTTTCACATAAAAATATGTCTGCAGATATTGCTTTTAAAGAAGCCAAGCTCATTCCTGCTTCATGGTCTTTTACCCTTTCATTCCCTCTAACTAAAATAATTACTCCCAATACTTGAGCTGTATGATTGGTTCCTTATCATTTTAATCTCAGCTTAGCTACTTTGGCCTACTCAGAGAGGCCGTGTCTAATCATCCTAAGTATAGTTACACCCACTTCCATTACAGCTATGCCCAGCTCTTAATATAACAGAGTATAAAGTGCTCAAAAATAATTTGAAAGAATACAAAAATGTCATTATTTATAAAAGATGCTGAAGTGGCAAAATCATCATATTTAATACAATATCACAGCCTCAATTGGATAGTCTCCTATACAGTATTTGCTGCATCTTTCAAATATACACACTCTGATGCATCATTAATTCTTTCTGGTAGTACTATTGTCAATTATAGGGAATGTATATTTGTCCACTGTGCATTAACAAAGGCAGTCCAATGCCAAAGCATGCTCCCATAGGGTGGGGGCAGAGAGGCATTTGAACTTTTCAGAAGAATATCCAACCTACAGCCAAAAATAGACATGACAAAAGGAATTCTGCCATCATGTACACAAATGGCTCACCATTATATCACAGCAGTCACTCTTTAATTTATCTTGTTGTAAGTGGGCACACAAAGGTCAATAATTTTGCTTTTTTTAAAAAAGACAGAAAAATATAACCAGTTGTTTCAAAAGCAAGAAGCTATAACAAACTAAATACTAGAATTAAATCTTAGTAGATCATTCACTTTATGTTTTCATGTGAACTGGCAAAATCCAGTCAGGTGAACCATATGCTGAATAGTTAAACCTTGCAAAATTGTAGTCTCTAATCAGTTAAGCCCAACTGGAGTTCATTAATTGCAAAAACGACTGATTCATCACTTATGTCACAAGGGTTCTTGTGGTTACTTCTGGAGTTGCGTTTGATGTAAGTACTTTGAATATACATATATTTCTTCAGAACATTAATATAGCTTTTTGAATGATCATGTCATTGCTCTGAATTGCTAAAATATATTTCTAAATATTTAAAAACTATCACTGACTTCAAAAACTATCATTCAACAGAGCATTTACATTAGAACTTTTGGATAAATGTGATCTCGCAGACCAGTTCATAAGTGGAAGGAAAAAGGCAGCACATACCAGTTGTGCACCATGAGTTTCTGCACAGCCAGAAGAGCGTTGTAACGAACCTGCTGGTCTTCGTGGTGCATATGGTTCATCACCAGTTGCTTCCCACCAAGCTGTTCAATAACCCTGCAGAACAGAAGCCACTTTGTGAAGATACTGCAATTACTTTCAAACTCATGCTGTCAGTCAGCAGAAAGCCCAAATCCCAAAGTGCCAAGAAATTTTAAAAGGAAAAGTTACAAACAGCTAAGTAAACCAACACATGGCTTTTTTATATCATTTTCTCCAAATCACAGATTTAAAGTATTCAAATATTTCCTCTCTTGAATTTCTAATGATTAATCTAATTGCTATTCTCATTTCCTAATCCAGGCAAATATCATCTACCTGGATATCTCATGCAGTATTCTAGATTATAGTTTTCTAGGTTGTTGAGCATTAACTTCTTTAGTACCAGTATTTCTGCCTTGCTTAAAATCAGATAGTGAACATCACCTAATGTCCATAGTAAGTTCACCACTTGCCATGCTATAAGACAGATGTGGGCTCAGGTGAAGATAGCAGGGAACAAAGGGTTAAAAAGCACCCAGTAGAAGCCATGTTAATTTCCTGAAAAAGACTATTGATTTTTAAGATATCTGTTCTTTCTACTAACAATGAAATACACCTCCTGAGCTGATCTCCTAGGCAGTCAAACAGGAGAAAATTCCTCTTCTCAAAAGCACCAAGATGACTGATAATTACACTGCTTTCTATCACTGCACCCCCTAACACCCTGAAAAATCCAGTCATCACACATGTGAAAGTAAACTGAAAATGGTTATTTGCTTCAGGAATGGAAAGAAGTTATCTGTTCCTTTGCAAGCATGTGGCTGTGGACAGAGCCATGGAGTCTCTTAATTCCAGCACAACAATGTGGATTATCCAGTCTGTACTGCCTAGTGGGAGATATAACTATTACATAGTCAGTGACAAGTGACATCTTAGTGCAACAGGGCTTTGGTAGTTTAAGACAACCTCACAGATGGGTGCATGGGGATCCAGGGTGAGAGAGAGGTTTTTATCTTTACACCTTTTTATACTTCATTTTTAAAGCATTTTTTAAAAAAAGTACTGAATTGAGAAAAAGTACAGTATAATTATTTATCAATCATTAACTGCTTTTTATGTGCCAGGTACTGTGATTTTAAAACATTACTTTATCTAATATATCAGCTCTGCTCTTATCAGTTAAGTTACATTAGGGAAGTCATTAAATCGTGTAAACTTCTTCCTGCCATAACAAGGATACCTCATTTACGGTGCTGCTGTGAAGACTAAATGACATAAAACCCACGTCTCTTCTGCTATGATGCCAATGAGGAGGAGGATGCAGGGGCTGCTCCCCTTTAGTCCAGTCCAAGAGATCTTTCCAAAAATCTGAATTATCACCTGTCCCGCTTAACACAATGGCTGACAAGGCCTCCACAGTCTGATGTAGAGCCCCTCTCCTGCTTCACAGAGCACAGGCACACACCCCATACTCTTGCACTCCGACTCCACTTGCCTCCTTTCAGGTCCTCCAGCCACAGGGTCTTGGCTCATGCTGTTTTCTCCTCCAGAAGCATCCCCTCTACTCTTCATGTAGATAACTTCTATTTATCTTTCAGATCTTGATTTAATTGTCACTTCCTCAGGAGAGCCTTCTTTCCACCCTTATTACATTCACCCCCTAATATGCCCTTTCCCTCCCTCACTGTATTCATCTAAATAACAATTTTACACCTGAATGATTATTTTAAAGGTATTAACTTTGCCTCCCCCATTGCACAAGAAGATCCATAAAGGCCAAAACTCTTCATTGGTTTTGCTTACCTATGTTCCCAGGGCTAAAGATAGAACACTCATCAAATACTGATGAATTACATTATTATATGAATATGTACTATATTAATACAAATTAATATATTTTATTTTCCAGTGTCAAAATACCATTGTTAAAGGACAAGTAAGTCTTCAAAAATATATAGATCTTTGCAGCAATACTGCCTGAGGATAATCCTCCTTTAATGGATATAGTATACTAAAATCCCAAGCAACATTAGCAAACACTCACTATCTGTCAGGTACTCATCTTAGTATTTTCCATTATTAACTTTTTTAAGAGGTGTGAGTAGCCTAGAATATCCATGGAGAGAAGTAATAAAGAATAGAGATCGAAAGAAAAGTAAACAAACCAGGAGAAACACTCAGGAAAAAGAAAGTCACATGTGCTTAGCATTATCCATTACAACACTAAGAAATATCAACCTGCACAAGCTGATGAACTATCCAACTAAACATCAGTTTACTCTTTGTAATCACATTAATTTTCTGAACTGTTGAAACTGATATGTACACATGTACATCAGATAATATGAAACTCCTGCATCAGTTTCAACTGAGATGCCCAATTAACAGGTACCAGACACTGAAGTGAATCTGTGAGAGAACACATGCAGAATTTACAAAGAACTCTACAAATGTCTAATCCCCATAAAGAATTTTATTGAAAACATTAAAGGATCCAGGGAGGGGAAGGATGATTTGTGATGTTCTATGGAGGGCACCAGTCCACACTGCAGGTCCCTGGCCTTACAGAGAAGAAAACTGTGATGATGGTTTCTAACCCCAAGCCAAAGGAACCACATACAGAGATGAGTGTGCATTCCCTGAAGTTGGGAGGACAGTGGCCTGTGCCTGAGAGTGGCACAAGCCTGAGAGGTCACAGCAACCAATCGCAGCAAGGCAGAGAGGGGTGTGTTAGGATTAGCTTGCATATCCAGAGTCTGCGGCAAAGGAGTTTGAGTGTCACCAGAAACCAAATGAAACAATGGCTCATGCCAACCTACAGATGCTGCAGTTGGATGGTTTAGGAAAGGTGCCTCTGTAACAGGTGCAGCCAAGGGGGGAGGGGCCCAAATAGGGATTTGGAATGGGGCCCAAAACTCAGCGTGTCCAGGAAATACTAGGATTTTCTCACCACCACCACCCCACAGGTGTGAATTGGGGGAAGGGACACATGGAGCAGGGCCATTGAGAGCTGTTTTGCATAGATACAGCTTTGCAGCTAACCTCTGGTGTGGTCATTTAACATATCTATAATCTTTAACTGGTTACATAGATATGTTAAATAGCTGTGGCCATGCTCTGAGCCAGGGGGATGGAAGGAACTTACCCCCAAGATATAACTGGGAGGCAGGTCCCCCAAGTTACAGTGCCTGTGTGGGAGCTTGGAGAAGACTGGCTCCATGACATGGGGCCACACCTGCCCAGACTCATGATGGCAGCCCAGTAAAGCCGGAAGGATGTGAGTGCTGGCAGGTGTAAATGATTGTGCAGAGAGAATCACCATGAGGCTTTAGCAGAGAACCGCTACTCAGCTTTGGCAGAGTGGCAAACCCCCTCCTTGCAGCCAGTGGGAGGAGAATCACGCAGCTTTGGCTGAGTGGGGACTCCCACAGCCATTGAGGAGGGAGGACCACGGGGCTGTGGTCATGCAAGAGAGCCACTCTGCTTTGCCAGGAACAGGGACCCCCGCAGCTTTAGAAGGGGGAACCACCACCTGGCTTTAGCTTTAGCAGAGATCCCTGCGACACAGCTGATGGTGCCGGGAACCAAGGGAGGCCTACCAGCGGAAAGGGATTACTGGGAAGAACCAGGGGCTGCCTAAGCTACAGACTTTTATTTCTTTTCCTGAGATACGGTATGCCAGACAAAGGCAAAGGGGGAAGGAAGGACTGTGTGTGTTTGTGGGTGTTTTAAGGGACTTTGGGATCTTGATGAAGACATTAGGTCACTACTTTCAGTTTGTATAGCATTAAATAAACATATCCTTTCTTTTTCATGAATCTCTGGCATTGAGAGACATCTTTCCTCTGGTGGTGAACATAATGAACCTGGGGGGTTCCTTCCAAGTAATAGTATATATCCCAGGCCCCCACCTTGTTGTTCTGTAACACCTCCAATGAACCCTAAAAAGTACTCCCAAAGGAAATTGTCAGCTTAAGACATCTACCAGGGTGAGAGCACATAAAGCCATCAACAGTGAGTAAGAAACACCCTCCTTCTCCATTTACCAGCCTCAGGGAGACTGAGGCAACAGTAGGTAAACTCTGGGAAGGAGAGTCAGAAAGGGACAGGATCACCAGCCCCCACCTGCTGAGGGCATCCAGGAGAGAAATCCTACTTTTGAATAAGTAATGAGAAGGGCTACTAAATGTTTTAGCCTAAACTCTATGATTTAAAATGAGTTACCTAGGGTGATGAAAGAAAACTTATGAGGCCACCTGGGATTTCATATACAGGCATGGAAATATTATCACTGGACAAATTTTAAAGGAAATTTGAGGAACAAACATAAAATCATTCTTATTCACCACAAACTGCTTGTTCAACTGACCAATCTAGTGTGCATGTCCATCATTTACTTTGAGGGGGTTGGCCGGGCTGGCTTCTTAACCCTCCTCTTTAGCATAACACCCGCTGTGTCCCCTGTCCCTGCTTACTCCTCTCTGGTGGACCTCTGTGACTGGTGAGTTTGGAAGCAGGAATCCAGAGGCACAAATTCACCCCCTCCTTTCTCTTCCACTCAGTCCAGTGTTACCTGGGACTAACAGGTTAGTCCAATTCTGAGTTCAGTATCAGGAAGGCCATCTGTGTATTGTGCCTATGAGTATACCACATTTTTCAGTATTGGCTTTATCAATAATTGGCTTCCATCTATTATCTCCTCTGTCATGTATCTCAAATTCAGAATGTAGGCAGGCAGGAGGGGGATTACCGGTATTTAGTGGGCCCCTTCTGGACAGCTTCAACACATAGAACACAGTTGATCCTCATTATACACAGTAGTTATGTTCTATACAGTCACCACTAACAATTGTTTAGTAAATATTGAAAATCCTAAGGAAAATCCAAGGTTAGGTTCCTACAAGCCTCTTTTTATAACACTGTAATTAACCAATCAATACATAATCTTGTTTTATGTGTGTCTGTATAAAGATGCCTTATTATCATATTATCAATTTATTGACAATGAACTCACAGTCAACAGCACTCTAACTCATGTGTGAGGTAAGCTTATCTAATACACACATTTTCTCTGG